TATTTTAGTTGATATTACAAATTAAATTGTAACAATTAAGAAACTCGAAATAATTAAAAAAAAAAAAAACCTCAAAATTGAGATTATTACAAGTTACCCAATAATTTCAACTAATTCAGTAGGTATTTTACAATCGAAAATTGTAATTTTTGCGTTGTTTTCTCCGTGTACCGTTTAGAAATGAATTCTTCGATTTTAAATTTAAATGAAGACGTAAATTTCAATTTTGTTTTTTTTAAGTCGATTGTTGATTTTAATCCGGATGTGGCAATTTTTAGAGGATGCATTTGCTAGTTGGAAATGAAACCGACTGTGGTTGAAGAGACGATTATTTTTAACAGTTAGAGATATTGGAACGCGACAAGAAACACAAAAATTGCGACTTTAAAAAAATATAAGTACATATTTTATAACATTTAGAACAATTAAGAAGTTGATATATGCCATTTTCTAATGGTTTATTTTATCGTCAATGATACACACTATCGATAAAAGCTCCCCGAGTAATAGGGAAAAATTCACATTTTTCCATTTCCAATTTTGAAATTTCCGCGACTAAAAAACACCCCCTCTAACTGTTTTTAGCAAAGTAAAAGCTCTAAACCAGGTGATTATCCCTAATATAATAAAAAAGCTCACATTACGAGCTTTATACTTAAACTAAAAACAATTTTATAATTTCCTTACTATTCACAAGACCATTGATAAAAATAAGATGAAAGAGAGAAAGAGAATGATAGATATAGAGAGAGATGGGCCTCGAGAGGGTAGTTTCTGCCCATAATTTTTGACCTGCTGCCGCCTCGGCCGCTTTAGAAAATTTCTTAGAAACATATCCGTAGCTTCGCAATTTTAAAAGCTGCAACTTCCTTATGGTCCTTAGGGGTTGCTCCATTTCTCCCCTCTCCAAACTCCCACCCCGCGGTGGGGGTAAGTGCGTTACGTTGGCCTAGGTTAGGTCAACCCTCGTGCGTCTCGATTTACATTCAGTAGAATTTCTATGGTCAAATGTGAAGCATGTGTGCAGATCCGTCATTCACCGAACAACTTACACTCACGCAACTCAACAAGCGAGTGATAACAACACGTTATTATCATTAGAGAAAGTTTCCTTCTTTATTTTTGTAATGAAAGCTTGTGGTAGTGTCATCCGCGGAAAGCTCGATCACTTCATGAAACCGGCGATTTCCCGACGATATGCCGCTTTTACAGGAAAATAAAACTGATGGTAAGTTAGATAAAACTACATCACAACTTTTTTAATAAAACTTTTTGGATTTAATTACTACCTTTAGTAAGAAAAATATATAATAATTATAGACTGTATCTGTTTGGTCACTATCTTCTAATAGTAAATTTTCCAAAGTTTTCCTAAGTTATGATTATGTACTCAATTGTTTTGGCAACTTTATTATATTAACTTATTTCTCTCAATTTGTCACTCTATTTCCTTTAATAATGAAACTTTATAAAACTTTTTTCGTTTCTGGTATTCAAACGACGATTTGCTATTACAAATTTACAAAACCAAATTTAAAAGCCATCAAAAGCTTTTTTCTTGTAATAATCCTTGCCGCTGTTATTAAAAGTGATTTTCTTCGGATCTAATACGTGAGCTTTCGCATGGTGTAGCTTATCCTTTAATATTTACCCATTTATATTGATAATGCTCATTGTTTAAACAATAAACATTTGATTCCATTACAATTTTCCCTACGATTTATGTAGATCGCTTATTAAATAGAATTAATGATATTTAGAAAGTTCTATTTTATCCTATATGTATTATAATGATAGTTTAGATATTTTACTCTTTTTTTTCTTCGATAAGTTTACGCTCAAGGCGCAAAGTAATAAATAATCAATCGACATTTAGGAAATAGTTTTGGCTATACGAATACAGAAATGCACATTACCATATTATATAACTATTATTAGGTTTTCATTCGTACTAATCATCTAATGTGGTGATTTAAAGCGAAGGAGTTACAATGTTGCGTATTATTATTATTCAACTAAATGGCATTTAACTAATTGATTTTTTACGGTTTTTACGTTAGGTTAGTAATGGGTTATTCTGTTTTCTAAAATGCATTTTTATATTATAAAGGCGCAGTTTATTTAAATACTTTTTTATAATGTCACATTGTCAAGGTTTTTAGTAAATTGTAGCTACTGAGTGTTCTAAATCTGACCGTGACCGCGGAAGCCCTCTGTTTGTAGTGCGACGGCTAATGTAAAGTAGATTGTAGTTCATTTGACACACATTTGATAGGCGCTACCACAGATTAATTTCTGTTATCCTGTAAGGTCCTTTTTCATAAAATAAACACGAATTAAATGGCTATTGGTATGGAAAACAAACTGAAACTTTAATAAATACGTAAAATAGATGTCTATTTCTGTCTGGATGTTTGGTTTTTAAGGATCTTATTCTAAGAGAATTGTAGTTTTATTATTATCATTAATTCTTAAATAATAATACGTACTTATCAATAGATGAAGTGAATTTTCAAATGTTTCAATCAAAGGAAATAATTCAAACGAATCCACTTATTATTATTTTCATTAACAATGTCAGGTGTCAGGGGATCTTATTCAGAAAATGTTTAACTTTCTGATTTCAGTCCTGATAGTCCTCAAAGATAAATAATCCTGTAATAGTAGATAAGGATAACGATCTAAAGTTAAAGTAGTAATTATTTTTATTCAGATTTTATTAGTTTTTGTAGTTTATGTACTGGATGCAGGAATGAAAATGAGAGTTCCCCATTTATCCCATTTCCAGGACATGTACCTAGATAATTCCTTATCGTTTCCAAAGATGTTTAACCGTACATTAGAAAGGATAATAACAATTCTAATTACGTTGACGCCGTTATAACGAAATGACCGGGCCATCAGGACTCCTCCCAATATCCTTAACTAAGAAGAAGCGCAGTCGCGGCTCCCATTATCTTTCCCCATTATTCCTGGCGCTTCGCTTTCCCTTCTGTACGACGTGACGCTCCCCGCGCGTCTCCCGCGCGACGTCCTTCATTAGCGACGCCGTCGACGACGTCGAAGTCTTCTTAGCGGAGAACAACCCTTCCCTTACGAAACGGTCGGCCACTCCACGTCTCCAATCCCCTCGCCTCTACCTTTCCCGAATCCTCGCTTTCCACCACCATCACCATCAACTCAACCACCCACCGTTCAAAATTCGCTTCCCGAGAAGCAAGAATCCTTAAATTAAATCCCGCTCGAGGAATCAATCCCCTACTCTCAGCTAATTAAGGGTCTTTTAATTTTAATTGCCTGATATAGATTATTATTCTTATAAAAGCACCCGTTATGATACGGGCACTTCTTTAAACGATATTATTTATATAACTGTCTTTTTTCGTAATAACAAAAAAACTGAAAAATTTTCCCTTATTCATGCACACCTGACCTTTACAGACTAAATTAAAAGAAAGAAATTCTTTTTGCTTTTTCTTTTAATAGTTCGTGCTCCCTAGAACAGTTGAAATTGGTTAGAAAATAATCAGCAACAATAAAACAAATAAATGTTTTCAACAGCTTAGAAATTCAAATTACTGTATAGCTAAACAATTGATAGAAGCTTAAAACAATAGATGCACAAATATATCATTTTGCCAACTATACGAAATAAAAAGCTTTGTCAGTCTTCATTTGTTTCGATCCATAAATGCAAATGTGTCCTATTGTCTTTCGCCGTAAATATTCAACTGTTCTGCATGACAATGAGAGCGAAGTTTGCGGCCAATCGGGCTCATTTACAACGTCAAAATGACGCGAGTACATCACATAACACAAAACTATTCAAAAAGCAGAGCGATCGTTTCAAAATTCAATTCGAAAGTTAAATGATCCCGGCGCCTCCACCACAATTCTGCTGCTTAATAAATTGTGAACAGGATCTGAGGTTCTTAACGTCGCCTCGATCAATACGTTACATTATATCTCACTTTGAACAAAACAAAAAAACTTTATAAACTTCTCATTTGCATTTGGTTCGTTATTCTACGATTAATTATTTATTTATTATTTGTCTTCTCAAAATATATATTTCAATTCAAAATTACGTCGAGTAAGTCATAAGTTTGAGATAATAATTGTAATAAGTAAATATTCAATCTAAAAACTGGCTGGACACGTAACATGTCAAAAGATTGGTGATTTAGGAAGGATTAGCTCTGTCCTTTAATTAGACGTTTTAATGGTCAGATAATTAAGGAAAGTAGGACCTAGATATGAAGTAAACTGAACGGGTTTTACCAGTGTATATGTTCCCTCTGGTGGCACACGTGTTTTGTTGCGTCCACAAACTGCTGATATTCAATCTTATTATTCATCTGCAATGGTGTGTTAACGAAAGTATGACAAGCAAAGGCAAGCAAGCCATTGTTAGCATTGGAAACTTTTAAGACGTTTCGCATCAATAATGAAAGCACTTGAATGCACGCGGTAGCAAAAGACACACACACACAATCGACGACATCACGTGTGCAATGTCCTGCGTCCCTTTTGGCTTGCTCCCCCAGGTCTCCTCCCTCTACAAAATTCGGCGCGTTTATTTACTTAAAACCATTTTGCGTATAGATAGATACATTAAATATTGGAAAAAATGTTCGTTTATTGAATGGACTTGAGTTCCGTGTGGCTTCTGATGCTGCAAGTTACTGTACAGTATTGTAAATGGACGACGCCGAATGACAGGGCAGTTCTCGAATGGAAAAAGCACCCTTTTTGCATAAATGGATATTTTCGGTTAAATTTGCGGGGACCCCACTGATTTCTCGTTATTCCTCTTTCGTTTATGCAGCGAAAGGGCGCTGGTAACATCGAATTTACAACTAATGAGTCCTGGCAACGGATTCTTGATCCTTTTCCTTCTCTCTTTGTATTATAAATTAAACTTTTTACAGCATTTCTCTTCCTTATTGTATAAATATCTTCAACTTTATCGAAACAAAACGAAGCAAATGTTTTAACGACAATTTTTTATAGGGTATTGCGCCTTATTAATATTAATATTTTTTTTTAAATTATAGAATTATTTTTAATAAACCACAAATTTGCCTGTGTTTTTGTTGCGTTTCCAGCTTGAGGGCACCAAACGGCATGTAGAATAAATTTTTAGTTCCGTATTGTTCCAGATATTTTTACGAATCGGGACAAAATGAAAGTGGAATCGGACGACACGTCGTTAAAATCCTCTCTAACTTCTGTAGCATTCCCGTCGTTCCCGAATGCAGGAATATTTACCCCGTCCCAGATACTGATGGCTAGTCAATTAATGGCAGCCTCCGGTCTGGGACTTCCGGCCAATCCGGCATTTTTTCATCCCGGACTATTCACTACAACCACTTGGCCCATTAGCTCACCCCCCTCGCCCCCGAACAGTGCCGAACAGGTCTCGCCGGCCTTCAAGTCGAGAAAAAACAACAACAACAACGTCGTAAGTTCTTTATCGACAACACAAATCATAAACGATGTTATTAATTACTTTTTGTTTGTGTGCAGGTGAGTAGTAGTAGTTCAGATGTTAAAACTACAAAAAGAAAAGCCGCGAGAAAAATCGAGGAGGAGGCGATGCCTCTCAGTCCTCCCATGTCCACGTCGTCGCCTCCGTCCAGTACTGCCGACCTCGGCGTTAAAGATAACAGAGATAAACAGTTCACTTGTGGCGTATGCAAGAGGTCCTTCGGCTACAAACACGTCCTGCAAAATCACGAAAGGACTCACACGGGAGAGAAACCGTTTGAATGTCCGGAATGCCATAAAAGGTAAATAAATAAACATAAACCCCTATAAAATTTTAGATGTCATAAAAAACACATCATTTTTACCGTCAAATAATCCACCATTCGCAGACCGTAACTGCGAAAAGAATAAATGGGTTACGAGTGGCGAATAAGTAAAAAAAGCAAAAAGGGATTCTTTCGAATTTGGTTTATTTTATTTTTGTTTCAGGTTTACCAGAGACCATCATTTGAAGACCCATATGAGGCTGCATACTGGCGAGAGGCCGTATCACTGCGACCATTGCGATAGACATTTCGTGCAGGTGGCGAATTTGAGGCGTCATCTTCGAGTGCATACGGGCGAGCGCCCGTACGCATGCGAGCACTGTCAAGCGCGATTCTCGGACTCTAACCAGCTGAAAGCTCATCTTCTAATTCACACAGACGAAAAACCGTTTTCTTGCGAAAAATGTCACACAAGGTTAGTTGAACATCATTTTAACATTATTGCTAATGTTTTATAATAATTTTGGATCTTAGATGTTTATAGTTTTTTTTAGAAGTTTTGAGTAATTAGCAATAAATAGGGACAAAACTTTTATTACATTTGCATTAAACATTAAAAGCTTCAGACGGCGATAGAGTACTATGAAACAAGAAAATTTAGTAAATGTTTAGCGGTCCAAAAGTCCACCGTTTTCGAGAAAAATGTATTTGAAGGTACGGTCCGGCCCTGGTAGGGATATTACAACGCCGCATACAGTTGCATTAAACATGAATGTGTTTCTGAAATAAGTAGCAAGTTTGCAGAAGGCGATAGAGTACTATAAAATAAGAAAATTTAGTAAATGTTTAGTGGTCCAAACGTCCATCGTTTTCGAGAAAAATATATTTGAAAGTACGGTCCGGCCCTGGTAGGGATATTACAACGCCGCATACAGTTGCATTAAACATGAATGTGTTTCTGAAATAAGTAGCAAGTTTGCAGAAGGCGATAGAGTACTATAAAATAAGAAAATTTAGTAAATGTTTAGTGGTCCAAACGTCCATCGTTTTCGAGAAAAATATATTTGAAAGTACGNTATTTGAAATTACGGTCCGGCCCTGGTGGGGCTGTGCAGGTACATACAATATTACAACGCCGCATTGCTACAGCTGCACTTTTCGTGTTGTACGAGTATTTCTTTTGTATTTTGTGTTCTTTATACCATAAATAATTAATAGCTAATTAATTATCACAATAGGCGCCTAGAAGCTTAGTAGAAAGCTATTGATATTTACTTTATTAGTCGCTCGACAACCGTCACGCCCAGGACCGGCCTCGGATTCTGTTCCTAAGACAGTTTTTCTTTTGTTCCAGGTTTCGTCGAAGGCACCATCTTCTTCATCACAAGTGCGGTGTAACAACGATTTCTTCAGACAAAGAGCCGAGTCCCGATCCTTCCGAGATCCACGAAGACGATCATCTTCATCCATCCCGAAATATCCTAAGAGTCCCTATCGAACCCCTCCTAACCTTCCCCCTTACTGTTAATCTTCCCGAACAAACGGAACCTGAAGATTTAAGTATGACCACGGGACTGCATTCACACAGCAGCGGGGAATCGACGAGGTCCCGATCGCCGCCGAGTTCTAAGGACGACATGGAAGACGACGAGGAGCTGCCGCGGGAAACAACGTCCCTTTTTCTAAAACATACATCTACGATGCCTCCCATGTCCCACTCCTAGTCCTGTCACGAACTGTAGTTGAAAGGTAATAAATAATAAACTTTTTCAAATTCATATTACGGGTACCTCGAGTCAATGTTTTCAGGGATTATTATTCAATACATGTACGTATTCCTTTATTGTTCCGATAAGTTTTCCGTTTAATTATTATTTTTTTTTTGTAGAAATTTATATTTTATAAAGTTATTATCGTATAATCTATCAATCTGGTGTGCGAGTTCCTGTGTCATAATAGACAAATGACAATGTTTACGATTGTTTTAAGCATTTGTTTCTTTTTATTGTTCAGACTCACTTAATAATAATAATAGGAAACAATCAAAAACGCGTTTCTTTTATTAAAAAACTTCCAAACTTCTTTTATTTTTCCTTTCAATCATTCATACGTGTAGTATATTGTATCGACCGATTTATATTTAATCGATAAGGGTATGCATAAGTAATAGATTATTATTATTTGATTTTAAAGGATGATATAACCGGTGAGATATTCTTAACTTTAAACATATTCATTTATTTACCTAATATATATATATTAGTAGACGTAGCCTTTATTAGTTTCTTTAGAAAGTTAAACTTTCTTAAAAATTTCTATTCGGCAATAAAATATCGGTTCTACGAGTAACAAAAGTCCTTTTTTCTACCTGCTCCATATAAAATATCACAATTGTATTGTATTTGCTCTGGTTTCGGACGGACTGGTTTGCATATTGTCGCAAAATCGTAAATTACAAGGTTATAAACAACCCCCTAAAAGACCTTGTCCACAAAAGGCATTGTATTTCGTCATTGTAGCAGCAGAAATGTTTCGGGAGTCATTTCAAAAATTTGCATCTAGAATTGCATGGAACCGTTACACTTTCGTGTCGATTTCTTGGAAGGAAGTCGTTCAAAGGACAAAAATATGAGAAACGAAAGAATTTTTCGTTTTTGGTTTCGCTACCTCTATTTCTTTCGGGTACTTTCCCTTCTACATCAATTTAAATTGCTTATTATTAATTTTGAATTTTTCGTTGAGAACCCGTGTCAAGTAACGCAAGAACCTGTTCAGAAACATGTTTCATTAAAAGACGTTTTCAGGTATCAATTTTTTTAACGGTTTACGTAACAATTATCCTTAATACGATATTTTATACTTGCCTGTACATTCTAGTTATTAATGCCTACATAATATGAAACGGTCTAGATTTATACTTTTTAAAAAACAATCGCTGCCGATTTTCGTTTTTCTAATAACAAAACAAGAACGTTTTTGATTGTTTCCTGTGTTAACGTAAAAAAAAATAGAAGAAACCTTATTGTAAATATCTCTATATTTTTGTAGGTTTAAGGCCACAATGATTATTATTTATATAAAAAAAGTGTTGTATCGATATTCTTTTTATTGTTATCTTGTGCTGTATTGTTATTATTTTATTTAGTATCTACCGAAATTGCTTGAAAATGACCCATCTAATATCGTATAATAGTAATAATAATCCGGTTTTGTCGATTAGAATTTTAATTCGTATGTAATAATTAAATGTACATTCAAAACCTTTTGAAAAACTTCTTACCAAAGAAACTGGTCCCGAATATTCTTATATTCTACGTCAATGGTTGGAATGAGTTACCTGAACTTGAATATTCTAGTGAGATAGCTTCACCGCGAATATTTTTATTTAGTACATTTTAATGTTTGTTACGTTTAATATGTCGTTATAAGTTAGGAATTTTTTCAACAAATGTACAAATGTCTACCTCCTGTTTGTAAATTGCGATAGTAAACTTTTACCTAACAGTTTCACCTGATAAACTGACCGATAAGACTGATTTTTAATAGAGAAAAAAAAATAAGAAAAATAATAACCATAGCTATGACAGAATACACGTTGTATTAATTAGTGAATAAAAGAGATCCATGTGAATCAATTTTTTTGTAAATAATATCTATTAATTAATAATAACGATAACGATACGTAAATGTTTTATGGTGTTTTCTACCTCAACGATTATTATTATTATTACTTATCTATCTACATATTTTATCAAATGATAATGATGTAACGTTTTGACGAAAATCTTACACGCGCCAAGCAAAAGAGGAATTTAATTTTTAGGGTTTCCTGGCCGTAATTCCCCGAAAATTCTTTCGGGGCTTCTTTGACCTCCGCGAGATCAAATAACGAAAATTTTTTTATCGTAACGTAAGAAGATTCGACCGGTTCGTGGGGGGAAACCCCCCAAACATTGGGTAAGATTTCGTCGAAAAAGCTGATCTCCTATATTAATCGTCTTTAATTTTTAATCTCTTTACCGAATGCCCTTGAATAAATGTACCTACGACACAATGGCGTTATCAACACGTACATATGTGATCACGTGACCCGGTTGATGAACGAAAATATTCGATGTCTTGATCAATAAGTTATTGTCTTGATATGAGTAATTTTATTATTAGTAAAATATTTGTTCTTGATCAAAGCATTTTTATTTACGTAATACGTAAACTCCCAATCACCAAACATTAATTTTATCCAAAAAAATCTGATCCCTGGATTGCAGAAATAGTCCTGAAACCTCAAAAGCCTTGAAAATTACGATCAGATACGACTATCACTTGTTTTTATTTTTACTACTAAAATTCAAATCAAAATTGATGCTTGATGTCATAAAATTTTGATTATGTAATCAATCTCAGAATTTTCAGGACTATTGTAGGTCCTCAAAATGTCCCGAATACCGTTTTGGTACCCTTATTTGGCAACCTTTAAACTTGTTGCATTTTTTAAACGAAATTTTAGTTAATTCAGGAATTGTCTAAAAACTTTGCCATTGTTTTACATGTTTTATCACTTTTTCAGCCCCCTGACGATGTCTAACGATCATAAAACCTCCCTTAATGTAGTTATAATAGTTCTTAAAAGTAGTTTGTCTCTGTTACTATCTACTATTTTAAATTTTAAATTTAAATAACCACCCTGGTTTTTAAATGGCTTGCTTCAAGGGTTTAAGACACACACAACATATGGATTACTTGAGCGTTACAATCTCTTAGAATAATTCATTGACTATCAATGCTTTTAATATTTGAATATGAAAAAAAAAGAGAATCGTGGGGTAACCCTTCTCGTTCGGCTCTGGGCAAGACGTAAGATCGATATAACTCTTCCGTGGGGTTAAATTCGTCTGCGTGGGGTGATTGTCTACCCAGAGAGTCTAACGTTCACCCCCAGACCGCCACTACATATACATAAAAAAAATGCTTTGTAAATGCAGAGTACGCGGTTCCACTCTGAAAATGTTAAGCTTTTTAATTTAAAATGTTCCTAAAACTCGCTGAAATTGGATTCTGGTTTACGCTTTTAATGATTACGCACCTTTTGGACTTTCTTTTGAAATCCTTATGTTTGGCACAATTAAATTGAGAAATAAAAGTAGGTTTCGCCGTTAGAAAAAAAAAGGTTTCGACCCTTTGACGAACCCATTCCAATGCACCTTTGAATTTGTGTCTCGTATTGTATCATTTCGGAAGTTGTAGACACGTGTGCGGGTGTTAGAAAGGACGGGATAAGACGGAAACTACATTTTAACACTACCTTCTAATATGAACAACCCTTAATTACAATTTTTGCCCTTATCATCTATGTATATATAAATGCAAACAAAAAGGCTACAATAATACGTACATTATTTTAAAAAAATTCTTTTCCTATTTCTTATGATGGTAAATTTTACGAGTGAATTCCGTTAGGAGGGTGTTGNCTTATATATATATATTGTTTTCGCCTTTTTTTGCCGTCCGATGGTACGGTTAATTGAGTGCATATGGTCTAGTTTCCAAGAAACTGCAAGCTTGCCCTATATTTCGGAATAGTAGCTGCCTTATGTTGTCGAAAGAGTAACAGCCCTTTCAGAGGTACGAACACACTTATAAAAGTGTAGTCATCCTGCGGGGACCAGGAACCGTCCTTGACAGTCGTGAACTACATAATAATGAACAATAGATTACAGGTAGTTCGATTCGTTTTAGTTCGATCGAAATTTATCGTCCAGATTAATCGATCTTCTTCTGTCTTTTGTAATAACTCACACGCGCCATAAAACGAATTCTACGTAAAGTGGATCTAATTGTAGGTACGACGTTGGCATGTAGGTACTGTACTTTAATTTTACTAATAATAAAATTAAATTTAAACAAGTAATGATAGAGTTATTTCCATCTCAAAATAAACAGTTGAAGATTACATTGGAAAAATTTGAATACCTATTTGAAAACGAAATAGTCCTCCAAAGAGGATTTTCTAATACAAATATTTCAATGTGCTTCATAACACAAAATAGAATCAATTGTGTGTCACATAATTTTGCTTTCTATAAAAAATTAACACATCATTTTGTGGTAAAGTAGGCAATTTAGTTGTAGAGAATGTATAGAACATATTCATGCTTCTCATGTTTTGTTTTTTGTTTTGTTTCTTCTTCTTGTTTCTTTTGTTTTGGGCGTAAATTGACCATTTATTAAGTTTAACAGAACAGTTAATTGATTTTTGAGATAAAAGTTTTAATTTACTAAGCTAGTTATTTACTAGTCACAAATTGTATAGTGAAAACAATCAAATGTTTTTGTGTTTTGGTTTTCCAATTTATTTTGGGAAACTTTTGAGGGTAAATCACACTTATTGTCCTATTTATTTGCTGCAGATCTTATTACTAGAATGTTTCTTAAAAGTTAATTCTTTTTTTAATCCTCATTCAAGCAAATGAAACATTTCATCTGATTTATAATTTATTTCGAGAAAATTTTGAGATTCTTTGCCATTTGCCTACTATCATCTTGTATTTTTTCAAAAATTCACTTGTTTCTTTGCTTCTTATCTTTAGTCATAGCTTACAATACTACTAAAAGTTTTTTTATTACCTAATCCATTTATTGTAGTTGCAACTTAATATACGTATAGAAACCCTCGATTGGTAATTGCAAATATATTATTTTTTAAGTAAAGTGTTGGCTAAAAGTTTATCGAATTCGTCGAGTTCTTTCCTTTTTCTTCCGTTTTTTCGTAAATACCGACGTAGTGTGCGTAAATATACAAATCTTCGGATTTTTGCATACGAATTTGGTTCGAACCGTGTGGCATTTACTGAATGAAAACAACACGCTATTTCATTCATCAGGTTTTTCGGTTCTTGCCTCAACCACCGTTTGCTTGCTTGATGCGAACACATGTGCCATATGTGGCACATATTATTATTACACCACTTACGTTAGAGACCGAGACTCCGACATTCCTATACCTTCTTGCTTCCCTATCCCTATACCCACCTCATTCTTTTTCCGAAAAACATCCCTCTCTATCTTATTTTATCTATCAATCACACAAATCCAAAAATTAACAAGACGCAAATTTGAACACCTCGATAAAGAGTAAGAATAAAATTATCCTTTTAAAAAGGGTAAAAGTTGATCTACCAGAAACCATTTCGCTTTTTAATCACCTACATATTTTGCCCCTTAATTAATCATCTAATTACTAATTAACATAAAATTAACATTGTTGAGGAATTACTTGCAGGTTTGAGTACTTTGTGACACATTTTTATGATAAGGTTTCACATTTTAGTTAAACATACATTATTATTATTATTTTTTTTAATAATTTCATAATTGGCATCAGAAACGTTTCGGCCTCTGTTAGGTAGACAGCTACAACTATGACGTTTGAGGTGGTGTCGTAGATATATGATAAAACAAAAGACGATTTCAGTTTTAGAAACTGTTGTCTCTGGTGTACACAATCAAGCAACCGCTTGGGGTAGCAAAGAGTTAATATTGATCCGTTTTTTTATTTGAGTCACCCCCACGTTTTTTTTTTCACCCTCGCTTTTTTTCATCCCCAGATGAGTGTTTCTATAGCAACTGTACAGCAGGTGCCAGCGAACACGCAACTTAAGATATCACGTCATTTCTACTCAATTACTGTGCTTTCTGCTTCCAATTTCTTCAATTAACGGAAGACCAGGAAAGACAATGCCGTGCCCGTGTGATGTCGCGCGATAAATGTTAAAAAAGAGAAAAAATAGAAGAACGTCGGCCACGTCGCGAACAACATACTGCGACAGGTAATTTATTTCGTTCCCAGTTGATAACTTCTAACAATAAACATCGCTTTTTTGAAAATACTTATCTGGTAAGTTCACAGTTCACTTGGTCGAAAAAAAATATGAGACAATGGCACAAACAATAGATATACCGAATTTAATTTTCATCTTCAAGGGATTCCCCGACACGTTACGTTACTCATTTGAAATACCTGTAGCACCCCGCCTCAAAAAATCAGTCATAGCAAGGCAATAAACACAAAAGCAAAATTTGAATTGATCTCTCAGTAACAAAGGAGATACAAAAGAAGATTTGTTATTGTTAAAAATTGAATATTTTTGTACTACTTAACACTGTCACGTATTGAAACTACTGCTCCTTGTTCTTGAGTCTTGAATCTGTAAATTTTGCACCAAGGAATGTCATAATAACTCGGAAAATTGCTAAATTAAATAACTTATCGATTCTTATTGAGCTCAAGTTAATAAGGAAATGATTGTTATAGGTGTTATGTAGAGAAGAACTTTAATACGTATTGAAACAAAACTTGAAATCGTTTGTATATTGTTTTTACTTTTATTGGTTGTCTACTAAACAATTAAGCATCAGCGTTGTTTAACAAAATGCTCATAGAAAACAATTGTATGGTTATCTTCACTTTATTTGTTTTTAAACCAAACAGTTGCTAATCGGAAAGGAAAAGTAAAACAAAAACTGTGTTTCAAGTCGTTTCAAGCAATCAAGTAGTTGGTGCACTTATCGTAACACCTCACTAATAAGGGTGTCATTATATGTAGTACCTACAGTAAGGGAAGAAAACAAAAGTGAATCATACTTTGTCTTATTATAAAATTGAGCAATTAATAACGAGTTTTCGTTGACTACTAAAAAATAAATTAGTTCGCTGTTTTGTGTGTGTGTGTGTGTGTGTGTTGTGTCGATGGCAGTTAAAAAGTAACTAGGGATGGGGATGAAGATGAAGGGCTGCCGTTCGGAGAACGAGAGAGCGCGCGAGCAGCTTGAAGATTTTTGTCGGGGGGTAAGGCATTCCGGGGGCTTTTCGTAATTACGTTTTTTAATTTATCTTCTTTAATGTTCAAGGAAAAGACAGTTTGTAATAGATAACACAATGCATTAGCCAATGAATTTTAGCGCGTAAATGGAACTTTTCCCTGCAAATAAGGCCCAGCTTTGTCATTGTCGACAACGACTATAGAATTCCTTGAACAAAAGGATGCTTCCTTAAAACCCTTAATTAATTTTTTTTCCTTCCATCTCGGTCCTTTTAATTTCATATACTTATATACATATATATTTAAACATAAGCCCGCATTTTTTCCCAAATTCCTGGAAAGATCCGACGATGAACGTCTCCCATTACTTACAGGGCCGGAATTTAGGTAATTTTGTTACCCACGGCATATTAAAACAACGTAAATGTATCCAAATTCGATCTGGATCATAAACAGTGATAAGCAAAATTGATCTTGGTCTTAGTCTTGCTAGACCAAGACCGACAGACCAGCACGACCAATACCAAGACCATGTCTAGAAATATTTCAGCAAGACCAAAACGAAGACCGTCTTTGACTTGCTTTGCTCACCACTAATCATAAGTTCGGTCCTGATCGTGATTTTCTTTTCAGCCCTCTTCAAATTTCTTGTTAGAATTGTAAAAACCTGGAGTCAAGCTTTTGAACTATGGGCAAGAAATTACATCTCAACGCTGCTGCTGATGGTCAAGTCGAAACGTAACACATAACTATTCTGAAGGAATAGTTTACATATTGCAAAAAATTACGTTAAAATCCATGCTAAAGGTCTCAAGTTTAACGCCAAAAAAACAGATCTACTTTCATTTGTTATATTCATTTGTTTGGTCAGCACGTTTTTCTCATAAATTCATGATTGATCGCCCTGTATAGTTTCGTATTATTTGAAGGTATGCCGTTAGCCAACTGTTTTCCACCAAATTATCAATTTACGACCACCCTGTGTATGCTTGGGGCGTACCGCGCAGCTATATAACTCCCTTTAGACGAAGAATCGAACTTTTTAATAGATGTCCTTTAAGACTTGCTTCATTTAAAACTAACGCCCTCGTTCCGCGCCCATTATTTAAACAAGATAGCGCCACTATCAGCAAACGGGCGCGCCTTGGCTACGAAACAAACGAAAAAAAAAAAAAAAGAGAAAAGAAAAGAAGAAGATAGAAGACAAAAGAAAACGCGTTAAAGCAAGGCTTGCTTTCTTGCTGCAAAGTATACGTTTTATGTATATATGTATGTACCTAGTTGTAGCATTAACAGAGGCAACGGAAGGAAACAAAAGGGGGAACTAAATTAATTTGCCGAGCTAAACAATGGCCGTCCCGCTAATGGTTACCGTTTGCAGAAATTGCCTCTGCTAAGCCTCCTTATTTTTTATGCAGATTTTTTTCTTGTGTATTTCAAGAACGAACACGCCCTGGATTTCACTCGAACTGATAAGCATTTTGTTTTATTCCCTATTAAAACGTTTAATCAGGAGGTTTTAATGGTATTCTGTTAATTTTTTTCAGCAATAATTTTTGTTTTCTACCTACTACTATCTACAGTCAATTGTTGCTCTTTCTAATTGTACAAATTTAATGTGTTGTTCTCTTGTCTTTTCAGATTGCCTACTCGAAGTGTGCAGGTACAAGAAAGTCTTAAGGAAACTCTTGGCATAAGGTAAAATTTCATTTTTATTTTCATATTCACTTCAGCATAAGTCAAGTCAAACGCAGTCAAATGTTTCTTTTGTTATTGTTATAATTTAAATTTCTTTTGTTTCTCATTGGTGCTTTTGTTTTCGATTTACTTACGTTTGCGTTCATTTTTTCTTCAAATAAGAAACGTTTCTTTAAATTCGTTTGTTTACCTAGTCCACTTGATTTTTTAATTTATTGAGAGTAATAGGTATGTAAATAATCTGTGTAATAACCAGAGATTATACATTTTGACTGCCCTATTTCGAATACCCAGAACTGTATAATCTATTGATATTTATGAGAGGCAATTTGAACAGGATCGTTCATTTTTAAAGCGTTTCTTTTAAAAATACTGCGAAGGACAAACCAAAAGATTTTAAAAGTGCTGTAAAAATCCTATTATGTTCCTATTTGCCTATGAATGAGACACATTTTGGTTTTTCGGTAGCAACGGTAAACTTTTAATTTATTGTCCAAATTTCTTTTTGCTATCCTCAGGTAGCATCTGCATATTTAAAAATTTTGTTGGTCGTTTACATCCCTTGAAGACCCGTTAGCTCTCCTTCGCAGAAAAGAAAAAAGAAAACGACCTAAAACTAACTGTAACTGAAAATTTACAAAACACACATAACGTAAAGATTCAAAATGTTTTGGTTTTTGTTTCACTTCGAGTTTCTGTTCATCACTTTTTTATAAAGGAAATGACGTTTTACCGTTAAAATAATTGCCCTTCGCATTTTTTCGAGTTGCTTTTGTTCCTCTCAAGATGAAGTGCAATTTTTCAGGTTATTCATTTGTCTATGAGGAATTAATTTCCCTGGAGTAACATTTAATCTTTTTTTTTTAAATTTTGAAGGACGAATCTTGCGGCTTCTTTATCACTTCATTACAGCCCTTACAACGCCACGGTAACTGGTAAAAATCAAGGTGAATAATAATGAAAAACAGTTGATTAAACCAACCGCTGTTTATTCAAAAGTAGATTTCAATTGTTTCAATACGTATGTTGTAGCTTCACGATTGAGTGATTTTTATCAGAAATAATTCATTTCATTTATTCCTGTTAATGCCAGATCAAAACAAAAAAAAAGAGAAAAAAGAAACGGGAACACACTAAAGATCAAAGGTATAAAATTCTTCTACAACAAGAGCTGAAGCAAGCTACCGAGAATGAAATATTCAACCCTTATTTTTTCAACCCCAACTAATTACGTTAGGGTTCTTAGGCGGAATTACTTATCCTTCATCTACCACCGCGAGCAGCGGGCATGCAGGGGGCGATGGGATGCATGGGGGGTGGAAACGGGCGTTCTTTCTGTTCGGGGCGAATTTTCCTTATCGAATTTATACTTTTTCTTAAGTTGCTCCCCGAGGACTCGGATGTTCTTCTCTTTATGAGAATTATAACTTTCTCCAACATCATGACAGAATATAAGAGGAAATTCCTGTAGAAAATAATCTAATTGACTTCCCCCGCACTCTTTTCTTTCGTTTTTATACATCAAGGGATAGATACACTCGCCCGAGTCATCCGCAAAATAATGGTAACGATGTTTCTAACAAGATACGCTCATAATTATGACCAAAAAAACAACAACATTTCCCTTTACTCGTTTTATATCTGTACTTTAGACTCTTTTTACATTCTTTAACGACTGGATGCATTAGTGGGTAACACTTTTGATAAATACAATCAATAATTAGCTGATATTATCATAAATATCAGTAAACAAATCTGCTTAGGGTGGAGTGAAACAATTCATTTACCTTTTTCTATTATAAAATTCATAAATTAATAAAATTTTTTTATTCTTTTATGCTTGAGGGGTTTCCGACATTTTCAAAAATTCTTCCCTAAAATTTTCTCTAAGAGCAGTTGAAATTATTAGGCGATACAGTCGGGTAAAGTAATTTGTGTATGATATATAGGCGGGTAAATTTTATATTTGTTTGTTTTTGTTTTTTTTTTCCTTCGAAAATTATTCGTAAGGAGTTTAACACCTACACTATGTAACGTAAAGTAAAAAATACGAAACGTCCCCAAAACTCAAGACAAAAAAGAGCTAGCAATATTAATGGATAATAAATTGGAGTTCCACGTGCCTGTTCCTATTCCTGTAGCAGAATGAAATTTCTGTACACAAGTTTTTAAACTCGGGATTCCGGTTAATGGCAAGGCGCTGTCAAGTAATGGTGGTAAGCGATAGGGGTTGAAAAAAAGTTCAAGGGATGGGATGAGTCATTGTTTCGAGCTCAATTTAAATATTTTATTAATTCGGTAGCTTCACGGTCGGGCAATACTACTTCAGTTGTTCCAGTCCCGATAAACATTGAACAACTGAACATCGTCAATAAAAATAACGTCTTTATGAACCGAATGGAATTGTTTAGGATCTATAAACAATGTAAAAGTTTGCACAGTGCAACTAGGAGTCCTTCAATTGTTCGATAGACATTGTAACATTTAAGAATCGAACATCATCAACAAAAACAACTGCTAAAACTACGTTTTTCTTGTAAATCGAACGTCTAATTTCAATAAACGTTGAACAATTGAACATCGTCACTAAAAACAACTGATGGTAAAACAAATCGAAATGCGTTAGAAATGACAAACTCAAATGTTTAACGTCTCTAAGCTCTTCATAATACTGTTCCTTTGAAGAATGTGGCATTTTTTCGTCTAATGAATAATCGATAGAGATTCTATTTTAAAATAATGGAGTTTTTGTACTGTATCGGACGTTAAAATGGGTACATGATGATCGATTGCTGAGAGCATAATTAATTTATATATTCTTTGTTTCACAACCAATTACGGCAGTGAATGTTAACGAAAAAATGCTTTTATCAAGATGAAGTTTACCCTCTCGCGCCTCTTCTCATCCCCTCTCAACTTTAATACCAAACCCTCAGGCGAACAAAATTTCAACAACAATTTCGTAACTCAAGAACTCAACCCATCTGCTACTGAAAGAAATAATTAATTTACATTCTAATTGCATTTTACAAAATAAGGAAAAAGAGAATTTTTCACTGTTGGTAATTTGTCTGTAAAATTGAAAACTTAAAAGCCTTTTTCCAAAGGTTGTTCAAAGAATATATAAGCATTATTTGCCAGAAGTTCTTTTTCTTTTTTTGATACAATTTATGGTGGAGTCTTTGCTGTGGTCATTTTTATGACCAGATTTACCGATTAGGTAATAGTAATAAATATATACCTGCTCCATAACAGTCTGGATTATAAAGGAGTACCCACCCTTTATTCAACCTTAAATCGTGTGGAAATTTTATTCCCTCACCAGCAGAAAGAATCTGCTACAGATTTACAAATTTCACCCCCAAGCATTACACATAACAGTTATTCCATTCACCTGTTAACAATAACAATTAACATTGCTTATGTAAGATTAGAAAAAATGTAATGTAAATGTAACAATATTGTTTCATTGCTTCAACTTTTGCCAGAATTGCATGTGATAACGTGAATTTCATACAACGGAATAAAACGCCATTGTTATTAGCAAAAAAAAAAACAGAAGCGCCAAACAAAATCGCAAAAATCAACTTCTACTTCATATTTTTCCGTTAGGCTTTTGTTCAGTGAACTAAGTACATACGTTCGTATAAAAAATCTTCTATTCAGTTTGAATTTCTTTCAAATAGACTAACGTATGTACATATGTCCGGATCTAAGAACTAAATTGCGCCCTCCACAAATTTTTGATTTCGTTATTCGACATTTTATTATGAGAGTATCAAGTATAAAACGCCACCGTTGATAATAGCTAATTGACTGTTACATTTTTTTGACATCACGTGTATGTACTTCCCCCAATCGAGACAACTGATACTCATTAGTGTTTTGTCATTTGTAGTCAGAGAACGCGCTTTTTTACGGCTTCCATTTAGAGATTATTGTATTTTGATTGACAGTAATAATGCGAGCCACAAAAAAAATACTACACAACAAAAGTCGTTAGAAATGGCATAACATTGATTTTCTTATTTTTACTGTTTAAGATTATTATTTGACAAAATAAACTCCAAGATTGTTACTTTAATTACAAAAAATGTTGACATATTCTGGATTATCGATTATATTCATCTCGATTTTAACTACTGCGAAAATCGATAACAACCCAATTCAATATCCAAACGGGCATTTGATTTAAATTTAAATTTCTTTTATAACGTATTTGATAGCAATCTTAAGATTCAAACAAGTTTTACGTTATTATGGATAGATTTTATTTAAATAATGCTTATCGCGATAGGCATCAGTCGAATTTGCGTTTTCCATCCGATTAATCATTGAAGAGCAATCGAGAGTGCCCACATTTGTAGAAATTCGGTTTCAGCTGTCGACTGAAATGCACAGATTGACGTCTGTATTGTGACGTCGTTCTTCGGACAAAATAAGCGTCTTTCTTTTTTTTCTGTCCTCGAATTGTTGCATTTCGCATGCAAACGTTTTTGTCCCGATTCGTCATTGTTTCCTTATGCATATTTGGTTTTTCGGTAATCCGGAAGTCAAGTAGGCGGAAACTAGACGATGATTGACATTTTGGGTTCATTATTTCACGCTGACTTCATTGTACATTTTGATCAATGTTCGCCTATTTTCTCCAGTTTTTTTATTGCACAATAACCACATAATACTTACTATTCAATGTCTGCAGTTTTGGCATTTAAATTCTCCTGATTTCTAGATAATTATTACCAAAGAAATGAAAATCGTTATATTCGAAAAAAAACGAAGGAAGTGTAACGGACATTTCAAAACAGATTCGTTGAATTTTAACGTCATTTAAAAAACACAATCAACAATGCGAATCAGTTACCTAAAGAATCTATTTGGCACTGCGCTCGAAAACAGCATGACATTCTACTTACATTTTACCTAATCATTCCACCTTAATGTATAGTACCATCTATCTGTCTCTGAATAATTTTACCAGCGCAAAGTAATGTTTCGATTATTTTATAGACTTCAGCTAAAATGATGCCGGAAAGTACTTATTTGACATCGCACTCGAAAACCGTTGGCACCATTGGATTCTACGTACTTTTTTACATGTTCTTCACTTCTTAATGCCCGGTTAATGCCTTCCACCTCGGAATAATTTCACGAGCGCGTTTTTATGTTTCGACTATTTCATGCGATTTAGACAAAAATGATGCCGGAAAGTACTTATTTGACATCGCACTCGAAAACCGTTGGCACCATTGGATTCTACGTACTTTTTTACATATTCTTCACTTCTTAATGCCCGGTAAATGCCTTCCACCTCGGAATAATTTCACGAGCGCGTTTTTATGTTTCGACTATTTCATGCGATTTAGACAAAAATGATGCCGGAAAGTACTTATTTGACATCGCACTCGAAAACCGTTGACACCATTGGATTCTACGTACTTTTTTACATACTCTTCACTTCTTAATGCCCGGTAAATGCCTTCCATCTCTGAATAATTTCACGAGCGCGTTTTTATGTTTCGACTATTTCATGCGATTTAGACGAAAATGATGCCGGAAAGTACTTATTTGACATCGCACTCGAAAACCGTTGACACCATTGGATTCTACGTACTTTTTTACATACTCTTCACTTCTTAATGCCCGGTAAATGCCTTCCATCTCTGAATAATTTCACGAGCGCGTTTTTATGTTTCGACTATTTCATGCGATTTAGACGAAAATGATGCCGGAAAGTACTTATTTGACATCGCACTCGAAAACCGTTGACACCATTGGATTCTACGTACTTTTTTACATACTCTTCACTTCTTAATGCCCGGTAAATGCCTTCCATCTCTGAATAATTTCACGAGCGCGTTTTTATGTTTCGACTATTTCATGCGATTTAGACGAAAATGATGCCGGAAAGTACTTATTTGACATCGCACTCGAAAACCGTTGACACCATTGGATTCTACGTACTTTTTTACATACTCTTCACTTCTTAATGCCCGGTAAATGCCTTCCATCTCTGAATAATTTCACGAGCGCGTTTTTATGTTTCGACTATTTCATGCGATTTAGACGAAAATGATGCCGGAAAGTACTTATTTGACATCGCACTCGAAAACCGTTGACACCATTGGATTCTACGTACTTTTTTACATACTCTTCACTTCTTAATGCCCGGTAAATGCCTTCCATCTCTGAATAATTTCACGAGCGCGTTTTTATGTTTCGACTATTTCATGCGATTTAGACGAAAATGATGCCGGAAAGTACTTATTTGACATCGCACTCGAAAACCGTTGACACCATTGGATTCTACGTACTTTTTTACATACTCTTCACTTCTTAATGCCCGGTAAATGCCTTCCATCTCTGAATAATTTCACGAGCGCGTTTTTATGTTTCGACTATTTCATGCGATTTAGACGAAAATGATGCCGGAAAGTACTTATTTGACATCGCACTCGAAAACCGTTGACACCATTGGATTCTACGTACTTTTTTACATACTCTTCACTTCTTAATGCCCGGTAAATGCCTTCCATCTCTGAATAATTTCACGAGCGCGTTTTTATGTTTCGACTATTTCATGCGATTTAGACGAAAATGATGCCGGAAAGTACTTATTTGACATCGCACTCGAAAACCGTTGGCACCATTGGATTCTACGTACTTTTTTACATATTCTTCACTTCTTAATGCCCGGTAAATGCCTTCCATCTCTTAATAATTTCACGAGCGCATTCTTATGTTTCAACTATTTCATACGATTTAGACAAAAATGATGCCGGAAAGAACTTATTTGTCATCGCACTCGAAGACCGTTGGCACCATTGGATGCTACGTACCTTTTCACATATTCTTCACTTATTAATGCCCGTTAAATACCTTCCACCTCTGAATAATTTCAGGAGAAAGTAATTATTGTATTTGGAGGCAATTTGAATTTCAAATTATCATTGTTAGCTTGATGGCACACCTGTCAGTTGTAGTTCAAATGTACTATGTGTGACAAAACGTGTAAAAACGTTAGTGGATGATGAAATAATGGTAGTTAATGTCAAAATTATCATCTTAAAAGTGGTTTAATGAGAAGTACGTAATGTTATCATTTCATACATCGGGATTTCCGATTCCAACAAATATTTACGTCATAAATACTTCGATATTTCTTTAATGGTTGTATTGATATCGACGATTTTTGTTAATTATAGGTTAGCTGTTCACAAGTGTACAACGTTCTTGCCTTCGTTATCGTTTATACAATGTCCAAAAGGGTTCAACCAACGTGGTCACCACCACAAAATGCAGAAAAACCTGTCCTTAAATTATTCAACAGTTTAACAAGACGAAAAGAAGTTTTTGTTCCTGAGAAAGGAAACACTGTAACGTGGTACAGTTGTGGTCCAACAGTTTATGATGCCTCACATATGGGACATGCAAGGTAATGTTTGCCATATTTTATTATTTTTTTACCATTCAATGTCTCAAAATTTAACAGCTGCTTATTGAAAGTGTTTGATTGTAGATCCTATATATCATTTGATATTTTAAGAAGAGTCCTTAATGATTATTTTGGATACAATATACTCTATGTAATGAACATAACTGATATTGATGACAAGATTATAAGAAGGGCGAGACAGAATTACTTATTTGTTGAATATGTAGCCGAAAGTAAATCATTGGAGCAAATGCTAAAAGATACCAAAGAGGTATATGGTCAAAATTAAAAGAGTGCCTTGAAGAATTGTTACTTAGTGCCATATCATTGTACAATTTCTGTTGCAGGTAATGGATCAATTTTTACGTAAAGCAAAAGAAACAAATTGTGTAGACAAGAAAGGAATGCTGGAGAAACTCCTCAATAAGTAACAGAAAACAAAGAAAATCATAACATTTCAATTTTCACAGTTATTTTTAAATTTTAGACTAACTGCATCTGTAGAATCTTTAGAAGAAGCTGTAAGATGTGGAAACAATGAGAAAATTGAACAAATGCAGAAGAAATTACTTGAAGAATGTAAGGACCCCTTGTCAGAATGGCTTGATCACAAATATGGCACTACTGTAACAGATAATGCAATATTTAGTTCTTTACCAAAGTATTTTGAAAAACTGTTTCATGAAGACATGGATGCCCTCAACGTAAGAATTTTACCATTTTTACATTATGAAATGATTTGTATTTGTGTTTATTTAACAGGTTGATTATGCAGGTAGTATTGTAATGTTTAACAAAGTTATAATTCGCGTACATAATAACACATTAAAACTTGATTATTTCCAGGTACTTAGACCTCATGTATTAACTAGAGTTAGCGAATATATTCCTGAAATAATAAAATACATAGAAAAAATTATCGAAAACGGATTCGGTTATGTCGCCAATGGATCAGTGTATTTCGATGTGGCCACTTTTGATAAATGCGATAAACACTACTATGCAAAGCTTGTCCCTGAAGCTTACGGTGATACAAGCAGCTTACAAGAGGGCGAAGGTAATTTTTTGCGGTTTAAAACATGTTGTCCACTTCATCTTATAATTATTTATTTTGTCCCTTTTTAGGTGACTTAACAACTATTGACCAACAAAGTGAGAAACGATCCCCAATAGATTTTGCACTCTGGAAGAAAAGCAAAGCAGGTGAACCGGCGTGGGATTCTCCCTGGGGCAAAGGACGACCTGGATGGCACATAGAATGCTCCACTATGGCAGCAGCAATCTGTGGTTCCACCTTAGATATCCACTCGGGGGGTGTTGACCTAAAATTTCCGCATCACGACAACGAAATTGCTCAAAGTGAAGTATGCTTAAAATATACCCCTAAAATGGTATGTTTTTAACACAAATTTCAATCATTTTTAGGCCCATTTCGATTCATCTGAGTGGGTGAAATATTTTCTACATTCTGGACATTTGACAATTCAGGGTTGCAAAATGTCCAAATCTTTAAAGAATTTTATTACAATCCAAGAAGCTTTGTCTCAACATACAGCTAGGCAACTAAGACTAGCATTTCTTTTGCATTCTTGGAAAGACACCCTCGATTACAGTACGAACACCATGGAATCTGCGATGTCTTATGAAAAAACGTTTAATGTAAGCTGTTGTGCTCTTCAATGTCATGTATAGTCTAAAATTTACGTTGTATTTCAGGAATTCTTTTTAAATGTAAAGGGGCTTAAAAGAAACGCTTGCAAAGTAATGGAATTTGAAAAATGGGAAAGTAAAGAATTAGAGTTGAATAATAAATATTTACAAGTAAAAGAGAATGTACACACAGCTTTGTGTGGTAAGAATAAATCTTAGTTATATATAATATATAATTAAACATGTAAACATATTTTTAAAGACAACGTTGATACGAGAACCGCAATGGAAAACCTGAGAGAATTGGTGTGTGCCTGCAATTTATATTTCAGGGATCAGAAGAAGCCTGTCATAATACTTTTAGATGATATAGCCCTTTATGTAACTCACATGTTTCAAGTTTTTGGTTTAATTCCTAAAAACTCCCAAATTGGTTTCCCTGTAAAGACTCAGTCCGGTGAAGTAGAGGTAAAACATCATAGAATTTGTAAATTTACTCTTTTAATATAATAACTACCTTGTTGCTTTTCAGACTGAAAGCCTTCTTATGCCGTACCTAAATGTTATAGCAGAGTTTAGGGACAATGTAAGAACTTATTCAAGAACCCTGAAGGCTACTGATATTTTAAAGGAGTGTGACAGATTAAGGGACGACGTCCTACCCATTCTTGGAGTACGACTTGAAGATAAAGAAGGTTTGTCTTTAATATTATATATAAAAAAAATTATGAGTGCTCTCAGCACAAGGCAAAATTAGTATCAGCAATTTTTATGCTGAAGTGTCCGATGTGTTGCATACCTATTTACAAACAATTCCTATAAATTTTAATCATTGATTATTATACATCTATTAAAAAACCATGATGGCCGACATCAATAACAATGCGACAACAATTGAAAAAGAATGATGGCCGACAACAGCAACAATTAAAAAAGAATGATGGCCGACAACAGCAACAATTAGAAAAGAATGATGGCCGACAACTGCAACAATTAGAAAAGAATGATGGCCGACACTACGTCATAATATTGTTTACAAAAATGAATTTCGACCACTTAAAGCAATGGTGCTAACAGTTTCGAGCTCACAGTAACTGATAGGGGGGAAGAACTAGTAAAGATAATGTTAATTTATATCTGTTACTTTGGTTTTTTGTAGGAGCACCCAGTACAATTAAATTGGTGGACAAAGATACTTTGTTACGGGAAAAGNGATACAGTCGGGTAAAGTAATTTGTGTATGATATATAGGCGGGTAAATTTTATATTTGTTTGTTTTTGTTTTTTTTTTCCCTCGAAAATTATTCGTAAGGAGTTTAACACCTACACTATGTAACGTAAAGTAAAAAATACGAAACGTCCCCAAAACTCAAGACAAAAAAGAGCTAGCAATATTAATGGATAATAAATTGGAGTTCCACGTGCCTGTTCCTATTCCTGTAGCAGAATGAAATTTCTGTACACAAGTTTTTAAACTCGGGATTCCGGTTAATGGCAAGGCGCTGTCAAGTAATGGTGGTAAGCGATAGGGGTTGAAAAAAAGTTCAAGGGATGGGATGAGTCATTGTTTCGAGCTCAATTTAAATATTTTATTAATTCGGTAGCTTCACGGTCGGGCAATACTACTTCAGTTGTTCCAGTCCCGATAAACATTGAACAACTGAACATCGTCAATAAAAATAACGTCTTTATGAACCGAATGGAATTGTTTAGGATCTATAAACAATGTAAAAGTTTGCACAGTGCAACTAGGAGTCCTTCAATTGTTCGATAGACATTGTAACATTTAAGAATCGAACATCATCAACAAAAACAACTGCTAAAACTACGTTTTTCTTGTAAATCGAACGTCTAATTTCAATAAACGTTGAACAATTGAACATCGTCACTAAAAACAACTGATGGTAAAACAAATCGAAATGCGTTAGAAATGACAAACTCAAATGTTTAACGTCTCTAAGCTCTTCATAATACTGTTCCTTTGAAGAATGTGGCATTTTTTCGTCTAATGAATAATCGATAGAGATTCTATTTTAAAATAATGGAGTTTTTGTACTGTATCGGACGTTAAAATGGGTACATGATGATCGATTGCTGAGAGCATAATTAATTTATATATTCTTTGTTTCACAACCAATTACGGCAGTGAATGTTAACGAAAAAATGCTTTTATCAAGATGAAGTTTACCCTCTCGCGCCTCTTCTCATCCCCTCTCAACTTTAATACCAAACCCTCAGGCGAACAAAATTTCAACAACAATTTCGTAACTCAAGAACTCAACCCATCTGCTACTGAAAGAAATAATTAATTTACATTCTAATTGCATTTTACAAAATAAGGAAAAAGAGAATTTTTCACTGTTGGTAATTTGTCTGTAAAATTGAAAACTTAAAAGCCTTTTTCCAAAGGTTGTTCAAAGAATATATAAGCATTATTTGCCAGAAGTTCTTTTTCTTTTTTTGATACAATTTATGGTGGAGTCTTTGCTGTGGTCATTTTTATGACCAGATTTACCGATTAGGTAATAGTAATAAATATATACCTGCTCCATAACAGTCTGGATTATAAAGGAGTACCCACCCTTTATTCAACCTTAAATCGTGTGGAAATTTTATTCCCTCACCAGCAGAAAGAATCTGCTACAGATTTACAAATTTCACCCCCAAGCATTACACATAACAGTTATTCCATTCACCTGTTAACAATAACAATTAACATTGCTTATGTAAGATTAGAAAAAATGTAATGTAAATGTAACAATATTGTTTCATTGCTTCAACTTTTGCCAGAATTGCATGTGATAACGTGAATTTCATACAACGGAATAAAACGCCATTGTTATTAGCAAAAAAAAAAACAGAAGCGCCAAACAAAATCGCAAAAATCAACTTCTACTTCATATTTTTCCGTTAGGCTTTTGTTCAGTGAACTAAGTACATACGTTCGTATAAAAAATCTTCTATTCAGTTTGAATTTCTTTCAAATAGACTAACGTATGTACATATGTCCGGATCTAAGAACTAAATTGCGCCCTCCACAAATTTTTGATTTCGTTATTCGACATTTTATTATGAGAGTATCAAGTATAAAACGCCACCGTTGATAATAGCTAATTGACTGTTACATTTTTTTGACATCACGTGTATGTACTTCCCCCAATCGAGACAACTGATACTCATTAGTGTTTTGTCATTTGTAGTCAGAGAACGCGCTTTTTTACGGCTTCCATTTAGAGATTATTGTATTTTGATTGACAGTAATAATGCGAGCCACAAAAAAAATACTACACAACAAAAGTCGTTAGAAATGGCATAACATTGATTTTCTTATTTTTACTGTTTAAGATTATTATTTGACAAAATAAACTCCAAGATTGTTACTTTAATTACAAAAAATGTTGACATATTCTGGATTATCGATTATATTCATCTCGATTTTAACTACTGCGAAAATCGATAACAACCCAATTCAATATCCAAACGGGCATTTGATTTAAATTTAAATTTCTTTTATAACGTATTTGATAGCAATCTTAAGATTCAAACAAGTTTTACGTTATTATGGATAGATTTTATTTAAATAATGCTTATCGCGATAGGCATCAGTCGAATTTGCGTTTTCCATCCGATTAATCATTGAAGAGCAATCGAGAGTGCCCACATTTGTAGAAATTCGGTTTCAGCTGTCGACTGAAATGCACAGATTGACGTCTGTATTGTGACGTCGTTCTTCGGACAAAATAAGCGTCTTTCTTTTTTTTCTGTCCTCGAATTGTTGCATTTCGCATGCAAACGTTTTTGTCCCGATTCGTCATTGTTTCCTTATGCATATTTGGTTTTTCGGTAATCCGGAAGTCAAGTAGGCGGAAACTAGACGATGATTGACATTTTGGGTTCATTATTTCACGCTGACTTCATTGTACATTTTGATCAATGTTCGCCTATTTTCTCCAGTTTTTTTATTGCACAATAACCACATAATACTTACTATTCAATGTCTGCAGTTTTGGCATTTAAATTCTCCTGATTTCTAGATAATTATTACCAAAGAAATGAAAATCGTTATATTCGAAAAAAAACGAAGGAAGTGTAACGGACATTTCAAAACAGATTCGTTGAATTTTAACGTCATTTAAAAAACACAATCAACAATGCGAATCAGTTACCTAAAGAATCTATTTGGCACTGCGCTCGAAAACAGCATGACATTCTACTTACATTTTACCTAATCATTCCACCTTAATGTATAGTACCATCTATCTGTCTCTGAATAATTTTACCAGCGCAAAGTAATGTTTCGATTATTTTATAGACTTCAGCTAAAATGATGCCGGAAAGTACTTATTTGACATCGCACTCGAAAACCGTTGGCACCATTGGATTCTACGTACTTTTTTACATGTTCTTCACTTCTTAATGCCCGGTTAATGCCTTCCACCTCGGAATAATTTCACGAGCGCGTTTTTATGTTTCGACTATTTCATGCGATTTAGACAAAAATGATGCCGGAAAGTACTTATTTGACATCGCACTCGAAACCCGTTGGCACCATTGGATTCTACGTACTTTTTTACATGTTCTTCACTTCTTAATGCCCGGTAAATGCCTTCCATCTCGGAATAATTTCACGAGCGCGTTTTTATGTTTCGACTATTTCATGCGATTTAGACAAAAATGATGCCGGAAAGTACTTATTTGACATCGCACTCGAAACCCGTTGGCACCATTGGATTCTACGTACTATTTTACATGTTCTTCACTTCTTAATGCCCGGTAAATGCCTTCCATCTCGGAATAATTTCACGAGCGCGTTTTTATGTTTCGACTATTTCATGCGATTTAAACAAAAATGATGCCGGAAAGTACTTATTTGACATCGCACTCGAAACCCGTTGGCACCATTGGATTCTACGTACTTTTTTACATACTCTTCACTTCTTAATGCCCGGTAAATGCCTTCCATCTCTGAATAATTTCACGAGCGCGTTTTTATGTTTCGACTATTTCATGCGATTTAGACGAAAATGATGCCGGAAAGTACTTATTTGACATCGCACTCGAAAACCGTTGACACCATTGGATTCTACGTACTTTTTTACATACTCTTCACTTCTTAATGCCCGGTAA